TTACGGAACATTCAGAAACTCTTCAGAAAGTCTTCTATACGTATATATAAGCAAGATTCACTGAATTTTCCCGAGGAAATTCAGATAAGAATTTTTTTTTCTACAATTCTATGCATATTGTATATATAGAGCATATTTTCCCTTAAAATCGTGTCTCTCGTATTCTGGAAATTTCTCTGTCGTTTTTTTTTGTCACAGTGACATCAAAAATATCTAAAAATTCCGCGAGATAACGTCAACTCATATATATGTTAGTTATCAACTTTTGTTAATGATACATTAAGGGAATTTTAAAAAAAATAATCGGTACAATGTTTGACCCCCCTACAATGATTGGCCATCTAGGTAAAATAAGGAATAACTTATATCAAAAGATTTTATCAACTGTGGTTAATAAACTTGTCACAATTGATCAGCTTCTTTTACTATCATTATTATGCCAGAAACAACCCCCATAGCTGTGGGGAATTTTAAAATACTATTTTTAACCCCTGGGAATGATTGTGCAACTACTGAGGTCAATCATTTTCAACAAAATATCTAAAACACTTGGGGGAAATGAAAAGACTTCATGTCCTGAGTGGAGGACGATAAATCTTTGGAATTAGCGTTGAGGCATTATTTCGAGTTCGGTTAAAGGAGTCATAGAGGGAAAGGGAAGAAGATGAAACTAGAGAGAGATGGTGTCAAAGGGAGCACGAAACTCACTTGGCTAGAACTTGGTTAAGATGATAGGCGAATGGTTGGTTGGAGTTAAAACTCAACAAGAAGTTTGCGGAGGATCTTCTAAAACTCGAGGCAAGATCAGAAGTGGAAGGAAGTATAATAGTTGGTGTAATCACAGGTCATGGTCTCCTTTAGCTATCAGCACACGAAATAACCTAAACAAGTGTCAAGTAGGTGCAAAATGTGTCAACTTGATGATGATGAAACATTTCCATACCTTCTTGCAAAGGCATCAGTCTAGCTACAGAATCTAATAAACAAAAGGAAAATTCAAAACTGGAACTTCTGAAACATTTCCTACACAACTTCTGGAAGTTTTTTTTAAACTTCTCCGCACGAAAGTAAACTTTTCGTCCCTTGAGTTTATGGGGAGAAATTATTCTCTTGTTAAAGGGACATACAACTTTGTAACTGTCATCCCAACCGGAAAAATTGACTAATCTTTTTAGTTTTTGTAATTGTATCCTTAGATAAGAAATGCTGAAAAATCATAAGTTTCCGGGTCTTTACTTCTAAAGTTATTGCCTTCTTATCATGAAAACTATATCATCTCCCTATCTTTACTAGTTTTTTTTTAATATCGTAATCAAATACAAAAAAACTTGAATTCCAAAGTATGTTTTTTCTAATTTTTTTTTCTGTTTCAGAAGCAGCAGAAGACTCATCTTTAAAAAAAGTTGTATTTAATAAAGATAAATCGTAAAATTTATTCAAGAATGAAACTCAATTGTAAAATTGTGATATGAAGAAGGCTCAACGCGGAAATTTTTACTGACAAACCTTTGGTAAAGTATAAAAAAATTAAACACTAATTTCCTACCTTTTCGTTTCAGAAGCAGCAGAAGACTCATCTTTAAAAAAAGGTTGTTTTTAATAAAGATAAATCGTAAAATTTACACAAGAATGAAACTCAATCGAAAAATTGTGACATGAAGAAGACTCAACGGGGAAATTTTCACTGACAAACCTTTGGTAAAGTATAAAAATAATTTAAAAATTCTAATATCCTTCCTCTTTGTTTCAGAAGCAGCAGAAGACTCATCTTTAAAAAAAGGTTGTTTTTAATAAAGATAAATCGTAAAATTTACACAAGAATGAAACTCAATCATAAAATTGTGATATGAAGAAGCCTCAACAGGGGATTTTTACTGGCATCAATTTGGTAAAGTATAAAAAAATTAAAGAACACTAATTTCCTACCTTTTTGTTTTAGAAGCAGCAGAAGACTCATCTTTAAAAAAAGGTTGTTTTTAATAAAGATAAATCGTAAAACTATGACAGGAACAAAACTCAAAGTCAAGAACAAGGCTCAAAAATTTTAAAACCGTATTTGGAGAACATGTTCCTTGTACTAATTTCAATTCGACGAAGAATACTTTTTTCTCGTCTACAATATAGATTGGCTATTTCTTGATAAAAAAATATTGGATTTTGAATGAATTTAAAGAAAAACAAACTTGAGTCATTTAAAATTTGTTGAATTATTCGAATTAATTTATTATTCAAAGGGATTTTACGCTTGTTGAAATTATTGTTTCTTAACACAATTTTGAGAAAATCAAATTTCCGAAATAGTTGACTTTCGTCAAGTTTATCTCATTATACACAAGGGGAACCACATTGCAATAATAATTATAGAACGATCGTCGTCGTTGCAAGTGAAGTTGAACAGTTCATCGCAATTGCTTGCGAATTAATTTTGATTGGCGCTGCCTTTCAAGTGTGATAATTCGTTTTATAATAAACCAATGAAATTATTTCACGTATTTTGTAAAATCTTTTGTTTTAAAAAATCAATCGAAATTAAAGAAGAGTGATAAAACTATCCCAAAAAAATCTGCTTTTGTTTTTTAATAATTATTTTAAAATTAGTTATTCTAACAATATCAAGTTGAGACAAAAAAAGGATTGTGGCAACAATTTTGATACATTTTTTGTCTCAATAACTTGATATCCTTAGAAAAAATGTGGATTATCATCAAAGTGGTATAGATTACCATTTTTTATAATATAGTTTCTAAATTATAATATAAAAAGTGGTTTTTATTTTATATAAAAGAAGTGCAAAAACGAATTCACAAAAAACAGCTTCGAAAATGATTTTATGTTTGTTGCACTCATCCCCTTTAATTAAAAACAAAGTACAATAGAAGGTGAAGTTAAAGAAAATTTCATTTCGTCATTTCTTTTAGACTTTTTTTTAATTTCGACGAACTAAAATTGTTATAAACTATAGAAAATAAAGGAGAGAGTATTTACATTGGGATTTGAAAAAAAATGTAAAGAGACTTTATAAACTACACCAAAATAGATTCGAGACAACATTCTGTTGGTTTCCACGGACAACTGAGTCTGTCTCTCTTTTATGAGGAAATAGTCCGAGGCTTTTACAACTACTACTACGAGAATATATTTTGACGAACTCGGAGGAACATTTTTTTTTCTTTTTTTTTAATACAAACCGGCAAATTTTTATGCACTTTTTCGAATTTTTTTTTCGTCCAAAGAAATATAAACCGCAGCGATATTATCATTTTAATTTTTGTCTCAAATTATTTCAAAATACTTTTAGTGTTTTTAAGTATTAAACTTAAGTATTAAAATACTAAAAATATTTCTAATTTAGAAAGTTTAAAAATAGTAAAAAATAATAGTAAAAATAGTAAAAGTAGGTATAAAGTTTCACGAGGGTAAAAATTTTATAAAGTGGAAAAATACTTGTTTTCTTCATACTAGGTATATTTATTATAGTAAAATTTAATATTTCAAAAATTAATAGAAATATTAAAAATTCAAATAATATGTAAAAAAAAAATTAACTCGCGCAGAATATTTAGTGATGGAGGAGGGGCAATGTGCTAAAAAGAAAACATTATTTTTCACACCACAAGATTGTTGCAAATGTAAATCATGAAAGGATTATTTGCGTCTAATCTGGTTTTCTCTCGACTTTGTTATAAGAAAAATGGCTTTCATTACAGTTTTTACTTTCTTCCGCATAAAACTCTTGGGAGCATCGTATTTTCTGCACATTCTCCATCTCATTATACAGAAAGTGGAAGGGGGGATTCTCAAACGCTCTCGTAATATTGCGCCGTGTGAAAATTGCGATTAGCTTCGTCTACTGGAAAGTAAAGGGACAAATAAAAAAAAGAAAAAAAAAGAAACAAAACAAAAAGAAGAATGACAAACGAAGGAAGAGACGAAAAAAAAATTTCTCTTTAATTCTCAGACAACCGGTCCCTATAGATAAAACCTTTTCTTTTATTCGCATACAAGTACCTACTATCCACACGATATATTTTTTTTTCTTTAAACATTAAATTGGATAAATAATAATTCGCAGAGAATAATTTAATTTCCAAAAAAACATCATCATAAATTTCAAAACAATTACACGTGTTTTTTTATGTGTATTTATTTCAAAATTTTCTTTACATATTTATGTACATAGGGTATTCATATATCTTCCAGAGGAATGAGTTAGTCTTCGGAGCAAATCACGTAAATTCTCGCTCGTCTGATTTCAAAATTGATAACAATACCTACATCCCTCTCGATTCCGCGCGCAAAACTTTCCTTATTGAAATAAATACAGGAAATACTCTCGCACTTTCTTTCCTCTCCACTTTTCTATAACTTATATTTATTTTCCTCTTTTTGGAATAAGGTTAAAGAAATTGGAAGTACCAGTTTTATATTTAACTTTTTCTTTATGTATATAGCTTATTATTTGATATTGAGTGTAAAAGTGTTATAAGTAAAAAAAGGAAATTAATTCTTTCCCTCTTTTCTTTTATTTTTTCTTTGCTAAAAATTATTACATATTATATATTGAGTGTAAAAGTTATAAAGAAAAAAAAAGAAAATTTTTCCCCTCTTTTCCTGTATTTTTTATTTCCTAAAAATTAGTTACGAACCTATATATAAATTCCGTAAGGCTTTAATGCGAGGCGGTCTTTTATTTTTACGAATAATGTGCAGATTTATAAGAAATGTTACTAACAAACAAGTTTTCATCTATTGAGGTAGTATATAAAAATTAATAAAAAATTTTTAAAAATAAGGATATAAAATGTATTTCTCTAACCATTTCACTTGTGTCAACATTAATTATATAGCAATTTATAATATATTATGTCACATATTGTGTATACAGATGGATACACATAGTAGCGAGCATAATAGTTTTAAAGTCGTTCATTTAAATAACAATGTATTAATTTCTCGTTTCCATTTACTAAATAAATAGGCCTAATTTTCTACCACCTTTTCCTATATATATATAAAATACACTTATCCCAATTTGTTTAATTAAAGTCGAAAATAGATATATAGTTATTAGGACCAAACGATATTTCTTCATACTCAAAGTATCTTTCATATACTCAAAGTACGATTGTAAGTATTTCTTTATTATTTGCAAATATATTCAGTAAAATATGTTCTTTTATGTCAAATTATAAGAAAAAAGAAATATTTCATAAATATTAAAGTAAAAACTACCATAATAGCTAAACTAAAATTTTCGGAACGTTAAATTCCCTTGCACAATTAAGCGTCAGATTTTTACTTATTAGCTTTTTTTAAAGTTCTAATTCAGTGCCCATTAATTAAAATTAAATTTTTTTTAAACTGTCCCCCAGGTTTAGTATATCTACTCAGAGATAGGAATTTTATATGATATTTTATCATTTTCTCAAATTACTATAATGTATAAAAATTTTACATACCTATCCTTCATATAGTGCCTCGGGAGGTCGTCGGATTTCTTTCGCATCACATCTATTTAAAAATATAATAAAATTTTTTAATATTATGAATATCCTGTAAGACTATAAAATATAAAAATGAGAAATATGTGATTAAAATGAAACGAATACTACACATCAACTTAAAAAAAATAAAATATTTATTTTTTCTAAGTTTGTTTAATTAACTTTTAAAAATTTTAAATAAAATAAATATTTAAAAATAAAAATGTCATTATGACATTTTTAAATATATTTTTTCTTACTAAAATTGTCGTGTACATGACATAAAATATTGTTTAATAGCACAATCTCTTCTTTAAAGCGCAATGTTGTCAAATATCAAGCTTGATAAAAATTTTCAACACTAAAAATTTTATCAAAACTTTTCAAAATAAAATAAGTTTTGAACTTTACTTCAAATTCATAGAATGTTATTTTCATAAAAAAATGTTAATATTATTTGTTAAATATTTTTCACAAAAAGTATTTTGTGACAATTTAAATTTATACTGTTATTAATATTTTTTAGGTACCATCATTGTTCCATAATTGTTTAACAATAATTAAAAGTGATAAAATTCAAAAATGACTTTTGGGGTCAAGTTACTCATTATCGTCAGCGCACTACTTTCTTCAAGTTTACAAATTTTTATCGAATCCCGAACAGTTGGTAAGTATATATACTCAAAAAAAAAAAAATCCTAAAGAATTGCTAAAGAATGTTAAAAAAATCATAAAAACGATCTTAATAAGAAATCTTTAAAAAATCTTTAAAAAAATAAGAATCATGAAGATATCTTTAAAAAAAATATTGAGAAAAGAATCTTGAAGATATGTTTAAAAAAATATCTTTAAAAATATTTTTAAAAATCTTTAAAAAAGAATTTTAAAGAAATCTTGGGAAAGAAATCTTAAAGAAATCTTAGAAAAGAATCTTAAAGAAATTTTAGAAAAGAATATTTTTAAATCTTAAAAACAGAATAAACTTAAAGAAATCTTTAAAAAAAGAGTCTTAAAGAAATCTTAAACACAGAATCTTCAAAAAAATCTTAAAGAAATCTTAATGAAATCTTAATGAAATCTTTCTAAAAAATGCCTTGTTCATATAAAAAGAAATATAATTGAATTTTTTTTAGATGCTTCTTGCTTGACGTACGACATTGAAAGAAAACATCCTGATGGCTTGAGAGTAGGAATTTTAACGACGGTTAGTAAGAATGGTTTAGTATCTAAAACTTATTCCTGCGGTTTTTATCACGCTATGAAAGGATCCGAAACAATAACCTGCCTTAATGGAAAATGGTCAGATCATCCTCCATCATGTAAAGAGTATATCGAACCCTCACGTAGAAATCAAACAGATATTTTAGATGAAACATGGTATCAAAATTTGGAAACTGAAACTGAGACTACTACTAATCAAGATTCAGAAGTCGAAATTTATGATGTATGATATTTTGAATTTAAATAAGATTGCATAATGATTATTAGTTTTCGATAAATTATGTAAAGTAATTAATTTATTTATGTATTAATAGTGATTAATTTATTAATTAATTGGTATTAATTTATTAATTAATAGTTATTAATTTATCAATTAATAACCAATTGAGGTTTGTGTTATTAAATTATATCGCGACTAAAACTAAAATTTTATGACTCAAAAGTTTTAGTTATATAATTTTTGTAAAATGTATGTTTATAATGTATATGTATTTATGTATGTATATATATGTATGTATGAAATGTTTGTAAGAATTAAAAAAAAAAAATTAAAAATAAAATGCAATTGTTATATAAAACAGGATAATACTATATACTAATGATCCTAATAATTATTAAAATGGAATATTAGTTTCGAATGTTCTTAAAACTCACAATCAGAGACAAAAAAAAATTAAACTCCCATATCTAATAGAAAAGTAGAAAAATAATTAATGTAAATGGAACAAAAAGTTAATAAAATTATTCAGTTCACGAAAAATTATTCTAACTCAGTGAGTTCAATCAAATTATTTCTTTATTTGTGATAATGTGATTTTAATTTCACGTTCAGAATTAATTATGCTAATTAAATGTTTAATGAAATAAAAAATTGCGGTTACAATTTATTTTTTAGATCACGATCTCTTTCCAAATAATTGAAATTTCGTAAAAGTTTTTAAAACTAATTAAATTTTTGAAACATATAAATAAAAATAATTAAATTTATGAAGAATTTTAATTATAAAATATGATCATAATTTCTCCAAAATTTTAATAAGTCTAAAAAAGTAAATCAAGTAAATTTTCAATTTTTAAATTTTGCTTTACAAGATTTTTCATTAAAATTTTTGAGAATTCACAATTATTTTAAAAATCTGTAATTACAATAATTTTTAAAAAGTAGATTTTTCGAAGAATTGTATTACGATTTTTTAAATGAAGGAATTCCAGTGAAAAAATTTATTATTTGTAAAAAATAATTGAATGTTGGAGAAAAATTTTATAAAATTTCTATTATAATAATTGAATTCTATTGGAAAATTTTAATAATGAGAATTTTCATAATATTAGATATTGAAAATCATTGAATTGAGAAAATTTTTTTAAACATAATTGAAATTTTGGCAAGAATTTTATTAAAATTTTTGAAAATAATTGAATTTCTGCGCAGAATTATTATTAAAATTTTTAAAAATAATTGAATTTTAAAGGAAAATAATTGAAATCGTGTGAAGAATTTTATAAAAAAATTTTTGGATAATTGATTTTTTTTGAGAAATTTTATGCGACTTCTATTTTAAATAATTAAATTATTGTTAATATTTTATTATTTATGAAAATAATTGAATTCTTTTAGAAATTTTTAGTATTTATAAAAATAATTGAATTCTTTTGGGAAGTTTTATTTTAATAATAAATTTTAAAAAATCATTGAATTTTAAAAGATTTTTGAAAATAATTGGAATTTTGCCCAGAATATTAATAAATTTTTTGTAAATAATTGAATTCCTGTGAAATTTTTATTATTTATGAAAATATTTAAATGATTCAGTAGAATTTTATGAAAATTTTGATTAAATAATTGAATTCTTTAAAAAAAATTTTATTGAAATAATAGATATTGAAAATAATTGAATTGGGGAAAATTTTTGAAAACATCTGAAATTTTACCAAGAATTTTATTAAAATGTTTTTGAAAATAATTGATTTTCGTAGAATAATTTTATCATTTATGAAAATAATTGAATTCTTGTTAAGAATAATATAGAAATTTTGAAAAAATAATTGAATGTCAGCGAAGAATTTTGTTATTTATTAAAATAATTGAATTGTTGTCAAAAAATTAAAATTTTTTATAATTCAATTATTTTAAAAATTTGCAATTAAAATTCTTCAAAAGTTGGATTTTTAAAAATTGTAACAAAATACTTGAGAAAAATTAATTATTTTCAATTAAATTTTTGCAGAATTTCAATTATTCAAGATCGAAATTGTATATTTTGAAAATTTAATTAGAAAAATACAAAAATAAGTTTTGTAAAAATTTGTTTATATACAGTTATTTTTCGCACTATAAAAATCGAAATAAAGATTTTACATTTAAAAAATGTGGTATTTTGTTGCAATATTTGGAAGAAAAGTCGAAAAATTCGCAGTTTTCGAAAATAAAGAAATACACTAGCAAAAAATTTTGTTTTTCTGACTTTTAATTAATAAAAAATTAATTTTTTTTAGTAGATATTCTTTTTTACTTCAAGTTATTTATTACAATAGAATATCAATAACTTACGGACAAAAAAATCGTTCAATAGGAACAAAATTTTATTTATTACACTAATGAATGAATAAACAAATGAAAAACAAACCGTTGATAAAAAAAATTAGCATTTTATTATTCGTCTATAGTTGATTACTATATAAAATAAATTAAAAAACAATTTTTCATCATTTGTCCTGTGAAAACAAAGAATGATCGGAACAAATTTTCATCAGAAATTGATGAACTTTTTACAATTGTGTTTTACAAACGAAATGTTATTTTTTAAAAAAAAGGGAAATTATTGCAAAAGATAAGAAATACTTTTTTTTACAGTAGGTTCAAGTAGAAGAGAAATTAATTCACTTTTTGTAACATTCGAATGGAAAATAAAAATGAATGTTCGGCATTTCTCAACACTAGGATTCGGATAGAATATCCTCTAAAGTCTTGTCATCGTGTAATGGCGAATGGCCTAATGTTGGATCACTTTCAAGGAATTCACGTAGTTCAGATTCCAAATCTGGAACACCGGCGGGTTCGCCTGCAGTCAACAATGATGCGGCTTGATTGATACTAATTTGCATTTGGCCCGCGTTTACCAAATTGATTTGTGTCTGTTGACTGCCAGTTGAGAGTAAATTTGCATTGTCTATCGATGAAGATGGAGTTGGCAGTAAACTATCAGGAATTTGATTGACATTTGCTAGTGTATTGTCAGTGACTATTGATGGATTATGAGTAATCGGTTCAACATCCATTGGTTCAGTGCCGCCCATTGGCGCAATGCCCATTGCCTTTCTTAGGCCATCGACTGGTGCAATTGCCGATGGTGGTAATTTTTTTGAAATTTCCGTTAAATTCTCCGTTATCTTCTCGGCTAATGTCACTTCATTGTCCTTTGGCTTTGGTATTGTTGTGAGATGTGCCGGTGGTTGGGCCGAGAGACGTTCATGTTGCACTTGCTGCAAATGATTTAATAATTGCGATGTGTCGTCCAAACGATTCTGTAACGTTGCACTGTCCTCGGTGAATTTTAATTCTTCTTCTGCAAAAAAATATTTAGAAAATTAGTTTTATTAAATTGAGGAAAAATGCGATGAAGAATAATTCCGGTAAGAAGACGTTGATTGAAAGAAATTAAAATATTTACATTTATTTACGAATTTTTTTAATTATGAAATTATTTGAAAACACCAATTTACTTCTTTTTTAAACAAATATTTAATAATTATTATTTTTTCATATGAATTAAAATTCTTCAAAAGATTCAAATTAAAATCTGTTTGAAATTCAACAACTTAAAAGAATATTTATTATTTATATTTATTATTTATTTTTTTTTATTTATTTATATTTATTTTATTTATTATTAATATTTATTTTAATATTTATTTTTTTTAAGAATATTTATTTTAAGAATATTTATTATTTTTATTAATTTAATATTTATTATTTATTATTTAATATTTATATTTATTTATTTATTTTATTTTTTTATTTATTATTTTTTTATTTTATTTAATATTTATTATTTTTTAATATTTATTTCTTTATATTTATTAATTTATTTATTTATTATTTAGGAAGAAAGTGATCACTTTCTTCCTGTTTTATAATAATTAAAAATGCCCGAGTGATAAAATAATTATTTTATATTATAAGAAAATTGTTACTTTAACTTCTTCAAAATTATTTTCAACATTTCAATTTAATTATTATTTCCTATTTCAAATTTTTTACTGACATTTATTATTTCATTAAATTTAATTTCTAATAAAAATTGATTTAAAAATTAATTTTTAAATGAGTTTCTTTCAATTTAATTTAAATGACTTTATAATTCTAAAAATTTCTATATTTATTTATGTATTTAAATATTTTAAATATAAATTTAAGCTAAAATTCATGTTTAAATCAATTTTTATTACAAAATTCTACGACAAGTCAATAATTTCTTTAAATATAAAAATTTTAAAATTAAAAAATGATTCATTTCTGAAGATAATTGAATTCTTGTGAAGAATTTTATAAAAAAAATTTTTAGATAATTGATTTTTTTTTTTTTTTTGAAGATTCTTTATGCAAATTCTATTTTAAATAATTGAATTTTTAACTAAAATTCTTCTCCAAAATCAATTATTTTTCATAAGTTTTGAAAAAGTTTTTTTTGAGAAATTTTAAATTTATTTGTTTACAATTCAATTTTTCAAAATTTTTGTGGCTTATTCCGAAATTCTTCAATTCCATATAATAATATTGAATTATTATCTAAAATTGTAACTGAAATTCATTTTTAAATCAACTTTTATTAGAAAATTCTACTAGAATTCAATTATTTAAATAGAAAAATAAAAAAATTTGTTGAATAATTAAATGTTTCTCAAAATTGAATTTTCATAAAGAATTTTATCTATAAATTTTTAAATAACTAAATTCTTTTGACGAATTTTAATAAACTTTTTAAGAATTTTGGCTAGGAATTCGATTAAAATTGAATTAAAAATAATTGAAATTCTGCAATGAGTTTTATTTTTTATGAAAATAATTGAATTCCTAAAAAGAATATTATTATTTGTTGAAAATAATTAATTTTCTGAGAAGAATTTTATTATTTGGGAAAATAATTTAATTCTCGCGAAGAATTTTATTAAATTTTGTCAAAATAATAAATTCCAGTAAAAAATTTGGTTATTTTTTAAGATAATTGAATTCTTATGAAGAATTTTATAAAAAAAATTTAAGATAATTGATTTTTTTGGAGAAACTTTATGCAAATTCTATTTTAAAAATAATTGAATTCTTAAAAAGAATTTTATTTATTGACAATAATTGAATTACTATGAAATTTTTATTATTTTTGAAAATAATTAAATGTTTGCGTAGAATTTAAAAAAAATTTTTTTTAACAATTGAATTATTTGGAAAATTTTATTAAAATCCTAATAGATATTAAAAATTATTGAATTGAAGAAAATTTTTGAAAATAATTGAAATTTTACCATTAATTAAATTAAAATTTTTTAAAATAATTGAATTTCAGAGAAGAATTTTATTATTTATAAATTCTTTTGACCAGAATTTTTTGAAATTTTTCAACATAATTGAATTTCTGCAAAGAATTGAATGTATCAAATTTTTAAATATTTCTTCAAATAAGATTTTGCCTATTAAAATGAAACTAATTAAAATATTAAAATAAAATTATTAAATTATTAAAATAAAAAAACTTCTGCTTTTCAGTTTCAAACTCTCTTTTGAATTTCAAAATAGAAAATGCAAACTCACCTAGATTATCAAGGAAATTGATGTCAATACCAAGATCCGATAGTGATTTAAGTTGATCGACGTCGATTTTCATCTTCTCATGCTGCGCATTGCGATTGACTTCCTGAATTGGTTTTTCCAGAAGATGCTTTATTTTCTCCTCCTCCTCCTTGAGGCGTCGTTTCTCGTCAATGAATTTTTTCGTCTTTCGATGCTCACCACCGGTCAATATATCGAGAAGTTCATCAACCATATTAAGAGTATAATCGCAATCTTTCGCAAAATCGAGAATCGATTCGGCATACTGAACGGCAGTGTCGTCGCCATAAGTTTTATAAACCAAATCCGACTCGTCCTTCGTTAAATTGGCGAATGTCGAGTCATAACTTGGCGCGTACGAACCAAAAGCCCCGTAATAGAGCGGTTTCACAGGTTTCGACATATTTCGTCGATCCTCACGAAAACCTGCCAACGAACCAGTGCCGTGATTTAATTTGCCCATTAGCTGTCCAAGAGAAACTGGTCGTTGATTTGTCCCTGGAATTACACCATCGCCGGGGACGATTATCTGCAAACTTGTCGTTCCGTCTTTTTTCTGTCTCAGGAAACCCATTTTCGAGCCGTACCTCTTTGCATTCAATTTCTCAGCTGCCGATTTCGATGCACTGCGCGCCTGCTTCAGAATCTCCTCAGGCGTAAGATCATCAGGAATTGCTTCAAATTTACCTAAATTTGCAATTTAAAAAAAATTTACAATTTTATACATTTATATAGGTATTTATTTATTTATATATTTATATATTTTAAATATAAATTCAAACTAAAATTCATTTTTAAATCAATTTTTATTAGAAAATTCTACGAGAATTCAATTATTTATTTAAATATAAAAAATTAAAAAATCAATTATTTGTGAAGCATTTGGCTTCATTATTTTTGGGCTCTTGAAAAACACTTTACTTATTCAATATTCCCCACTCTTTGGTAAAAAATCTAAAATTATCAAAAATTCGAAAAATTCAAAAAACCGAATTTCTTAAAATTCAACATTTTTTCTTCTCTTTTATGGCATTTGGCTTCATTATTTTTGTGCTCTTCAAAAACACTTTACTTATTCAATATTCTCCACTCTTTGGTAAAAAATCTAAAATTATTAAAAATTCGAAAAAATTCAAAAAACTGAATTTCTTAAAATTTAACATTTTTCCTTCTTTTTTATGGCATTCAGCGTCATTATTTTTGTGCTCTTCAAAAATACTTTACTTACTTAATAGTCTCCACTCTTTGGAAAAAAATCGAAAATTATGGAAAATTAGCAAAAATTCAAAAAACTGAATTTCTTAAAATTCAACATTTTTCCTTCTTTTTTATGGCATTTGGCTTCATTATTTTTGTGCTCTTCAAAAATACTTTACTTATTTAATAGTCTCTACCTTTGGTATAGAATTTAAAATTATCAAAAATTCGAAAAAATTCAAAAAACCGAATTTCTAAAAATTCAACATTTTTAAATTTCAACATTGTACCTATAAGTTTTTAGAAATTTTCCTGACTTTCAATGAAATTCTTTGACATTTCCATGACTTTTCTCTGACCAAAAAAATTCCCTGACTTTTCCTTGACTTCCCTGACTGTTAGACACCCTGTGAATGCATCTTAAAATTGAATTCCAATAAAGAATTGTATCAACAAATTTTTATATAATTGAATTCTTGTGAAGAATTTTATTAAAATTTTCAAAAAAAAATTAAATTCCTGTTAAAGATTGTCAGACATTCAATTATTTTCAAAAATGTTAATAAAATTCTTGGCATAAATTTAAAATAACAAAATTCTTTGCAGATCTTCAATCACTTTAAAAAATTTTAATAAAAATTTTGCTAAGAATTTAAATATTTTTGTTAAATAATAAAAATCTTTGCAGAAATTCAATTATTTTCAAAAATCTTAATAAAGTTCTTCGCAAGAATTCAATTATTTATTTAAATATAAAAATTTTAAATATAAAAAATTTGGAAATTAAAAAATGAATTAGGTTTGAAGATAATTGAATTCTTGTGAAGAATTTTATAAAAGATTTTTTAGATAATTGATTTCTTTTCGAGAAATTTTATGCAAATCGTGAGAAAATTAATTATTTTCAAATATGTTAATTAAATTCTTGGCTTGAATTAAAAATAACAAAATTCTACGCGAATTCAATTATTTAAATACAAAAATAAATAATTTATTGAATAATTGAATGAATGGCAAAATTGAATTCTCATAAAGAATTTTATCAACGAATTTTTAAATAATTGAATTCTGGTGAAGAATTTTATTAATATTTCCAAAAATAATTAAATTCCTGTAAAAAATTGACAGAAATTGAATTATTTTTAAAAATTTTAATAAAATTCTTAGCAAGAATTCAATTATTTTCATAAATATCAAAATTTCGCAAAAATTCAAATATTTTTAAAAGATTTGATAAAATTTTGTCGTTGGAAGAATTCAATTATTTTTAATACAATTTTACAAAAAGTTCTCGATAAGATTCAATTATTTTAAAAATTTTAATGATATTCTTCGAAAGAATTGAATTATTCTTAAGAATTTTGATACAATTCTTTAAAAGAATTAAATAATTTTTTTAATAGGAAATTGTATGAAAATTGAATTATTTAGTAATTGAAGATCAGGAATTGCTTGAAATTTACCTAAATTTGCAAGTCTCATTTTCCGCTGATGCTCCTTGCGAAGTTCCTCGGCCTCCTCGTTTCTCTCCTCTTGTTCACGCTCCTTCTCAATTTGCTCCTCAGTGACGAGGACGTCGGGATTATTTGGATCCTCGACGCCCAATTCGAAGCCTAATTCCTCCTTTGAAATGTCGTGCATGTAGGTCAATACGGGCCTTAATTGTCGTAATTTCTCCGGTGTCACCATCTTCAAACCGACGTGCAACAATTTCTTCGCAGCCTTGTAGTAAATCGTATCCTGATGATTGTAGGTCATTGCATTATTGCACATGAGTTTGAAATCATCGATGAAATCATTGAGTGTTTGATAATTATTTTCGTCAATTTTTTGCTTTATTGTACTAAAATCCATGGGATTTGAGATTATTTGCGAATAGCCGGGGGCGATGTTATCGGTGACGGGCCAGGCGAAAAATTGTTGGGGATCACGTTTCTCCATTGATTTTAGCAAATGCTCGAGTAATCGTTGCAATGGAGTGCGTTCGGCGATTTTTCTCAAGACACAAGTGCGAGGCTCGCGATGTGGTGAGAGACCACTTGGTAGGGGCGAAACTCCGAGACGATTTTCAGTGGGTGGTCTGGGTGGCATTAATTGTTGATTGGCAATTTTTTTCGGCACCTCCAATAAACTCTCGTCTCCATCGCCCACTGATTCTTGACTCGACTCTTCGCGTTTTCGTTTTCTGTCCTTGTGATGATGCTTGTGGCGCTTGTCCTTCTTTTTCTTCTTCTTCTTCAATTTCTTGTGGCCCATGTACCTATGGAGAGAATTTCTAATAAATACAAGTAATTTTGAGAAAAGTAAAAAAAATTCTTTAAATCTTACATTCATTTTTCTCTCTTCACGTTGATTCAAAAACAAAAATTCATCCAGGATTCTTTCACTTTTGCTAAAGATATCAATCACTAATTTTATTTTTTTTCAAATCTTCACGTTGATTCAAACAAAAATTCATCCAGGATTCTTTCACTTTTGCCACAGATAACAATCATTTTTCTTTCATCACTAATTTTATTTTCTTTTTCAAATTTTGTCACACAGAAATATCGAAACTTACGAATGGTTCCAAAAAGTTTCACCGACAATTACGAATGTTAAAAAAAATTGATAGAACGAAATAAAAAAAGAATTGCTAAGAATAGTTTTTTAATAAACAAAAAAGATTCTAAAAAACATGAATATGGTATGAAACAAATATAAATACATATTTCATATTGAAAAGTAAAAAATGCTTCAAATGAAAAATCTGATGGACAGTCAAAATAAAAGTTAGTCCAATGTCATAATTTCGTAATTTAAAAGAAAAAGAGAAATTAAATTTTAAATTCGTTTTGATGAAAAGGCGGAGAATTTAATTTTGAACATTTAAAATGTTTGGAAGTTTGCGTTTGAATAAAAATTACAATTTCCTGTCAATAAGAAATATTTGTTAAATTGTTATATTACTTAAATTATTTATTATTGACAAACAATTATATTTTTTATTTAAATATAACTTTAAATTGTTAAAAATATAGAAAATTAAATTCTTTGAATTTCTTTGAAGAATTTTTGTATAATTTAAAAAAACTAATCAATTTTTTTGCCGAATTTTAATTAAAAATTTTAAAAATGATTTTTTTTTCGAAAATATGTTAAAAATAATTCTGAAATGTTATTATTTTTTGTATGTATTTGAATTTTTAGAAATATATAATTAAAAGTACTAAAAAATATTAAATTTTTAAAAATTAGATGCTAATTTTAATTTTTCAATTTTGCTTTACAAGAATTTTCATTAAAATTTTTGATAATTCAATTATTTAAAAAATTTGCAATTAAAATTCTTCAAAAGTTTGTTTTTCAAAAATTGTAACAAAAGACCCTACTTTTTTTTCATCTATTTCTAATTCTTTCATCCATCTGTCACCCTGGCCATTTTCATTTTAATGTCCAACGTATTTTTTAAATTTTACATTCTCATCATATGAGAAGATAAAAGTTTTGTGTTTTGAATTTTCTACTTCAAAACTTTCTCAGCTGTTTCCAATTCTTTCATCCATTTCTCACCCTGACCATTCTCAATTCAATGTCCAACTTTCAAAATCAATTTTTCAATATTGTTGTATATATGTGAAAAATTGTGGATTTTCGTGAAATCGATCACGATTATTGAGTTACAGTGTCGGTCTCGATTGACATACTGACCTATCATATTCCGACTCGCCCTGAGTGACGGAGTAATTAATCCCTAATTGCTGTTGATAGTGTTGTGAAAGCATATTCGCTTGACTGGGAGACTCGGAACCGTGCTCTGGAGTTCCACTACTTCCTCCAACTTTCAATATTAATTTCAAAGCCGGAGGTTTATCCGGTGTCGAGTAATCTGCAAACGATACAATATAATTTACTAAAAAAAGGAAAGAATGCATTCAATGTAATAAATTCAAAATTAACTGAAGTTCTGAATTTTTAAACAAACATTTTTTTTTAATTTTTAATTTGATATTTTAAACTTTCAATTAAAAATTGGACGTATTAATCATTTTTCCCGTGTTATATATTTAAAAATATTCGAATAAAAAATTGTTTATAAAAAATATTCAGATCTTCAGAAATATTTTTTTTACTAAATTGTTAAATATTTATTTGCTTGTTTATTATTTATTTACTGTTTATTATATACTACACTATACGTATTTTATTACTGAAAATAAATGTTTATAATCTTTCAACCGTCCATAAAAAAAAATCCATAAACACTCGAATGCTGCACTTTTCAAGCTTTTTCGTTTCAATAAACGAAAATTTAAGGTTATGTCAACAAATTCCTTTCACCACTGCAAAAAAAAAACCAGTCGTGACGGATGGAGATTCAAGTTTTTAAAAAATAAAAAACAAACAAACACTTAAAAATGGATTAATGACACTGAAGAATGAAAAAAGAATCGAACCAAAAATAACCAACAAACAAAATGCATTCGGACCTTTGAACAATGATGAAAAAAGTAAGAGGACTTTCGTATTTTAAAATTAAACGAAACAATTATAGAAAAACAACAAATCATGAACATATAGTGGACAGGATAGATTTTCTAATCGTATGTCCAGAATATACACCTGGATTGATCTTTACTCTCTCTCTCTTTCTTTCATTCACACTCAAACTCTCTCTTTCTCTCTCTCTCACCTTCTTGTTTTTCCCGTTTGTGTTTTTTGTTTCTTTTCGTGTTCATTGTGTCCTAGTGAGGCCACAGTGTAAACCGGTTGTCGCGAACAATGTCGTGACAATTGGAAAAAATTAAAAAATTCGACACGTTCAAATGATTTTGAAAACAGAAAAACACACAAGCTTGCCGCGTTCCTACTCTCTGCATCGAGTTCGGAATCTGGTGCGACGCCATATTGAAAACACGTCAGATAGTCATCTTTTGAAATTTATCTCAATCATTCCCCCACTGCATCGACTCGTCAGCTCGCTTCCCAATTGGCTAATGTTACAGGCAGAATAGAGCGCGCGATAATTTGAATTATGAATTATTTTAAAAACCTGAGTTTCATGCTTTTTCATATTAATTATAAAAGTGATAATGAAAATTATTAATTAAAATATTTTTCAAATAAATAGAAATAGAAAAAGGAAAATTATTATATTATAACAAGCAATAAGAATAATGGTAAAAATAATATAATAAAATAATAATACAATAAAATAATAATTTAATAAAAATAATATTAATAAAAATAACAATATTAATAATAATGAATTGCAAGAATTTGATCCATGGAAGGTAAAAATAACATAAATAAAATAAATTTATGTCATATTTTTTGTTTATTTAAAAACAGCAACGTTTCGATGACGTGGGTTTGTCATCCTCTTCAGGCTAATTAAAACAATGCACCAATTAAAAAAATAATAAAAAATAAAAGTTAACACACACTATAATTTTTATAAACAATTTTTAAAAATTACCTTCCATGGACCAAATTCTTGCAATTTATTAAAAACTTTCGGAAGGAAATCAACACTATTAAAATATTAATAAAATAATTATGAAAAATATTAATAATAAGAAAAAATTTTAATGTTTCATGTTTTTTTTTATTTTTAATGTTTGTACTGATAATTTATTATTATTTCTTAAATTTTAATCATTGATTATAATCATTATTGAAAATTATAATAATAAATTATAATTTATTATTTAATACAAAAAATTGATCAAAATAAAAAAAATTATTTAACTATTGAATTATTTATAAAAAATGTAATACTTTTAAAAAATTTAAATTTTAAGCTCGGAATTTTTTTGCCTTTGCAATTTTTTTTAACTTTAAAAAGAAGGATTTACATGAAAGAAAGGAATCAGATAAGCTTAATAATGTCTTATGTATTTTGTATAGTAAGTGCTCGTTTTGTCGTTTATTCTCTCTCTCTCTCTCCTTCTCTCTTTCTCTCTCTTTTATCTAGTACATCCACTTTTCGTGTAAATCCGATTTGAAACATCTTTTTAGTCCCGGGAATATTATAAGAAATAAGGATAAAACGAACATTATTCCTCTTTTAAACTTTCAAAAATAAAAAATAAAAAAACTTATCTTTGATCCCTTGAGATGCTCAAAAAATGCCTTGAAACCGAAATTGCATAAATATTATAGGAAAACTTTTATAATAAAAGAATTTTTAAAAAATTAAAATTATAAAAAAATAAAGTATAAATAAAGTATAAAATACTTTTAAGGATTAAAATTTTTCAATAATCGATTTTAAAATATTTAGTAGTTAAAAAATTGAAGAAATTATTAAGAAAATATTTTAGAAAACGAATCTTTTTTATTTTTGATACTAAAATTTTTTAAAAATTATAAAAAGTTACTCTATTAGTCTTAATAACAATAAAATAATAATTAGTGTTACATAATTATAATATAATTGAAAATTTATTATAAATATGTTATAATAATTATAATAATTATATTATATGATAATATATAATATATTATAAATATGTTTTAATATAATATAATTATTATACTAATTATAATAATAGTAATTATAATGATAATAATAATATTTTATATGTAAATTAAGCTATTTTAAAATGTAATATCGTTACCATTTAACGCCTTTGACACACATTTTTTTTTAAAAATCCTAACCCACTTCACGTTTCGAATAATTTCTAAATTTACACCAAATTTTAAGATTTAAAAAAAAAATATTGTCAATAATTTAAAAAACTATTTTTTTTCCTCTTGAATAAAAAATACTAACGAGAATCAAATCCAGTCGTTCGCTGTACTTTATATTTTTACAACTGACGTTATACATATATGTTACGTGTTATAATATATGCAACACTGCAGACAATATTTTGGCTTTCGTTCGCCCTATACACTACAATGCATTTGCAACACTGTAAAATAAAAAGAAAAAAAAGAGAAAAGGAAGTTGTATACATGAAAGGCTAAACAATAAAATTTCAAACCGCAATTACTGAGTCATAAGTAACCAAAATAGCATTAAAAAAAATTCTCAAAAAAATTTTCTCAATAGAATAAAAAAAGTTGAGGGGAAAAATTAAAAAAAAAAACCTATGTAATATTTTTAGAAAAAATTTTTTTTCTCATATATGTATGTATTTAGGTCTCCTTGTTACCATAGTGCTTTCCATGTATAATTTTAACACACACAAACACATTTCCTGAATTTTTCCTATATCGATTTTAACCTCCATTCTCGTAAATTCACATTATTTTCAAATACCAGAGGATTTGCACATTATCCGGGAGTTAAAAAAAAATCCAAAAGAGATGCACACTTTTTTACACTTTGGAAGAAAAATAATTTAGAGAATATTGAAAATTTTATACAGAACAAAACTTTTTTTTAATAATAGAATAGAGGAAATAATTTCCTTTTGAGATATATTCTAATTTTAAAAAAAAAAATTGTTAAATTCGAACGAGAAGAATATTAATTACCGTTTTGAAAAAAAAAAGAATAAATTGAAACTAATTTGTCATGAACTCCTCAATAGTCACCTGGTCACCGCCCTTTTTGACACAGCCCTGAACGCTTATTCCCTAACCTTAAAAAAAAAAAAAAAAAAATACGGAGAAAATTTATTCTTCTAAAACAGAAAATATTTATCAATATTGTGCGATAAATAGAAACGATATTTAACACTGCAATGGAAAATGAGACTTAATTGTGAATTAATTGATATGTAAAATGTAAATTAAGAGGATATAAAAACGCGTGTAAACTCACCATGAGAAATTGTTCATCCTGAATCGCGGCGCGAATACAACCGAGTGCAATTGACGGGGTAGGCAATCAGCTGGTCAAGGCGTACGTTCATCACCCCGGTGAAAAGAAAAAAAAATTAAAATTCCACAGAGAGTAGACACAACTGCCATATAAAGACGCGAACAAAGAGTTACAAACGGGTCTTGAACTCATGTGCGAGAAATTTTTACAAAGGGGACGACTTTAGAATTATACAGACGCGGAAAGTATTTTTTTTTTGGTAATAGAAAATTCTCGCGTATTTTATTTCTATTTTGGACAATCGTAAATCGTTCGCACTAATAAACGTAAAGGTTAAATTCGGAATTTTTTCTTTTATGTAAATCATTTATAGTATAACATTAATGTCGAATCGCAAATATTGCGCACGTCGTCGTTCACCTAACCTCTTTTTTGTTTTCTAATGACAAAAAAATGAAGAGGATTTAATATTTTCAGTATGAAAAATGAAAGGAAGATTGTTTTAACAATGGATGGTTGATAATTATGTAAAAATTGAAAAAGATAGATTATTTATGAGAATAATCAAGCTCAATTGAGAAGTGAAACATATAAAGGATTAATCGATTATTTACAATAAAATACACAACATTTTGTGTTAAAACGTTTTACAAAACATGTAAATTTTTTTATCTATTTTCTTATCTACTATTCTTTGAATAATAAATAAATTTTCCGAACAATAAAACTAAATATTAAAAAAAAATTTCTTTTTATGTCAAAAAAAAAACGAAAAAAAAAATTAATGAAAATGTTGAATTAAAATTGTAATTTATATAATATCTTCTTGTCAATAATAATTTTCATTTACTAAATAACATTTTTTTCAAATAGCTACTTAAATATAATATCAAATTTTAATTTTTCATTTTATTAATAACATTTGTACTCTATGAATTGAAAAAAAATGAAAATTAACGGAAATGTAAAATAATAATAAAATTTTTTATGAAGCCATTAAATGAACACTTGTAAATAAATTTTAATAAATTTTACTTTTTTTAAATATTAAATATAGACTTTAAATTTATTAATTAAAAGATGGTGAATTAAATTAATTTAAGTTAATTTCAATTTATTAGTCAATTTTATTTTTTCAAAAATAGTAATATTTAAATGTTCATTATAAATAATATAATATAATAATAATAATTTTTATAATAATAAAAATTGTTATTACTATTATTATTATAATCTCTCTAAATTTGAATTAGTAAAATTTTTTACTAATTTTAATTCGTGACTGAAGCTTTGCTTTCGAATTGTAGAAATGACTATATTTATTAGTAAAAAGTAAAATTTACTAATTCAAGTTTAGAGGGGTTATTATTATTACTTATCAATAATTGGTAAATGCAATTAATTTTATTAAATAACGAAAGGATTAAATTTCAATTAACTTTACGCTGGAAGTGCTTTCAGTGCTTATTAAATAACAAGAAGTATAGAAATAAAAATCCCTCATCGTTGACCTTATATAAGAAATGACGGCATAAAATTTTGAGATTTACTTTACGATCCAATTATATATTTTCCATTTTACAAGTAACCTTGATAATATTTTTAATATGACACTTTTCATTAGAAATTCGAGAAATATCTCTAAATCATAAAACAATATTATTCATTTATTGCAGAAATGAACAAAAAAGTTCATTTTTGAACTTTTTTTAATTCTAGTCAAAGATGATTTACTTTATCGTGATTAAAAAAATATTGATTGACGTTAATTTATTACACTTTACTTTGTAATTTATTACACTTATTATTATTATAATTATTATAATCTTAATTTAATTTTATTATTTTTTTATTATTTTTTCTTATTATTTTTTATATTATTTTTTATTATTTTCCTTATTATTATAATTTTTATTATGATCATTTATAATAATTTTATAAATTTATTTTATATATTCAAAAATTTTTAAAAATTAAAATTTTGCGTATAAAATTCAAAAAAATTTTTGCTTTTAAATTTAGTCATAAAAATACTCAGAATTTATTGTGGTAGTTTGAAAAAAAGCTCTGTCAACTACTGCCCTCTCGTTTCGATATTAGTAACGCAACTCTTATTATCGAGTTATTTCAACATTATTAATGTTAGATAACGATTAAACATTATTAAAACCATGTGGTGTACTTTTTTCAAATATTACCTATTCACTAGGGATGGCGCTCAATTATTTTTTGTTTTTCCATTATACATCATTTAAATATATCACGCACTTCCTGTAATGATAAAAAGTAATCTACTAAAGTATAACACGCGAAAATCGATATACTTTAATGTAAAAATTATACATATTATAAAAGTTTGAAAATTAATTTTACGATCAATTTACTGTGTTTAAGGAAAAATAATTTTGCTCTATAATTATATATATTATAAAATAGTTATTTTTTGCAAATTTTAAAAATAAATTAGTTTGTAAATAAAATTAGATTAATTTAGAGAAAAAATACATTAAGAAATTGCATTATTTTAAAAATAACAATAAAAAAATGTATTGTTATTTATAAATAAAGTATTTTATAAAGTATTTTATAAATAAAGTAAAAATTAGTTTATAATAAGTTAATAATTGAAAAATTAATAGATGCTGGTACATTGAGACTTATTGAAGAATTTAAAGTATAAAGAAGCATTTATATCAATTCATTAAATTAAAATGATTTTTCTAATTACTTGAATTTGAATATTAAATGAAATTTAAATTACAGTGAATGATTTTGCATAATCAATTTCAATTCACAGAAGATTAAAGACTATTATGACTACAATTTATGCAAGCTGCAGAAAAAATAAGAATTTAGATTTCGAATCTAGTATATAAACTTTATTAAAAAGCAGATTTTATAAAAAATATTTTTTGCATGTTATTATGTTATTAACAATTATTATTTTTTTTGTCCATATAGGGACTTTTGGGAAATCTGCTTACAGATACCTTGGATTTTTACAATTATAACTATTATTATAATTATTAACTATTTTATTATTATTATTTTTTTATTATTAGCTATTATATTATCATTATTTTATTATTATTATTAACAATTATAATTTTTTTATACTAAACTTCTTTTAATAATAAGCCTATAGTATTTTTATCTAAAGAAACCCCATAGTTAGTTTTAACAGGTTACAACCTGTTATTAATGTTAAGATCATGAACAATAATTAATAATCATTTAACACTGAAAAATATGTTCGAAATCACATTAAAATATCATTAAAAATTTTTGGAGAAAGTGACAATATTGCACTATAAGCAACAGTTTTTTTTATATACGCAATAAAATGTTTCCAATAATTTACTATTATTGACAATAATTTGGTTTTAAAATTTTTTTATTAGTTCAATGGGTTATCAATGATGCGAAAATTTGTTTAAGAAATGATATAGGGTTGACATAACCTATATGCAATCATTCGTATAAAAATAGATTCCATAAATAATAATAGCGATACAATAATTTGGTAATCAAATTTCGTGGTTAAAAGTAGATAATAGGATAAAATATTTTTTAAAATAAATAATAGGATAAAACATTTTTTTTCGGCGGTTGTAATAAATTAACAAACGTTAATGGTTCTTTCTTCTCAAGCTCTTGAGTCGTCTGCTAGGCTCTATTCTTCGTGCGCAACGCAATTTCGCGCGCCAACTTTAAAAGCGCGCGAAAATTTGAATCAAATCTAGTCAGGTGTAGCATAGAATTTCGAATGTACTTTAAAATGAAATTCGATTCGAAAATAAGTAGTAATGAATAAGTTAATAAATTTCTAATTATTTATTATTATAAATAACTGTTATTAATAATATGTTTTAATATGTTTTAATTAACGGCTTTTATTTTAAGCCATTTATATTATAAATAAAGAGACGATAATAATAATGGATAAATAAACAATAATAAATAAGTAAACAATTATAATAAACATAATTAAGAGTTAATGTAAGGTATTCCAATAACTAAGTATTTAAGTAATAAGAATTATTTAAGTATTAAGAGGCAAAATAATAAAAAATGACAGTTTTAACCAAAAGTAAATAATAAATTATAATTACTAATAATTACCTATACTAAATAATAAAGTATTCTATACTTAAGTGGAACTTTTATCTTAATAGAAACTTTCACCATTCTTCTCAATTAATGTCTATGAATGTCTGAAAAATAAAATTTCGACCCTTTAAATTGGCGTTTTTTTATGAAATATTCTAAAATAAGGGGATATAAATATGGAGTCAGATGGAAATGCATACAATATGAGCAATTCGTTTCGTTTTTAGTCTAGCCGGCTGATGACGACGATCGGCTGGAGGCGCCTACACGCAAGCCAATATTCACTCGAGAGGGGACTCTGACTGTTCATACTGATCCTGTATACACGTTAGTATATAACGTTATAGACCTTTAACAACGCCGCGTTCATGTTATATATATAGAATCTTTTGGATTAGCTCGAAGCCACGAGTAAGTCGCTTCCATCGCTCATAAGCGTGTGCATCATTCCTGACAAAAAGCGGAAAAGGAAAGAAAGAAAAAAATGTAAAAAAAAGAAAAAATTTCTTTCTTTCATGAAAAACAATAAATATAATTAAAATATTATAAAAGAAACATTGTGAGTAAGTTGTGCGACAATTGTGTTGTTGTCTTCTGTGTGCGTGCCTTATCAGTAGCATAACCGGTGCCGGTAAAAATAAAAACAGTGTGTGTGACAATTTGAGAAATTTTCTCACAAAATATGGAATAAGAGAGGTGTTTTTATAAGAATATAGATTTTTTATTTGGTTTTAGAAAGAAAAAGGAAAAATTGTTCGAAAAAAAAAATTGTATTATTAGAAGTGATGATAGTTTTCTCATGTCTCTTTCTCTCTTGTAAAATATATAACTATATGTTTATAGTCGATTATTGATTTTGTCTTAGCTTCATTTCCCCTGAATGGAAAAGAGACGCGTTTCGACGCACTCTCCGCATGTATATACAAAAGTGTTGGGTGCGGAGTTAAAAAGCATATTTCGAAGCGAAACGTAAACATTACGTTAACGTAGGACTTACGTAAATTGCGTATGATTCAAATTTCTTTCGCGCATAACGAAAAAAAAAATTACGATTCTTTCGAAGATATATTTTTTGATGTGTTTATTTTGTAAACAAAAATATCTTCATTTTAGTAAATGTCTTCTTTTTAGTAACATTATTAACTTTAGAAAATATCTTCATTTGTAATATTTGAAGTAACTATTTCGATTTAAAATAATATCTTCAATTTAGTAAAAATATTAATTTCAGTAAATATCTTCATTTACAAAAAATTGAAGTAAATGTTTCCATTTGAAGTAAAAACCTTCGTTTAAAGTAAATATCTTCATTTTAGTCTTCATTGTTGTAAAAATTGGATTGAAGTTATTAACTTCATTATATTGAAGAAACTATTGAAATAAATATTTTTATTATAAAAACTTTATTGATATTAATATCTACAGTACTGAAGAGACTTTATTGAAGTCAATAGCTTCATAATTGTAACAACTTCATTGAAATTAATATCTTCATTATTGTAGAAACTTCACTGAAGTTATTTTTTTCATTTTTGTAAAAACCTTATTTGAAGTGAAAATCTTTATTATTTAAGAATTATTTAAGAAATTATCATCATTAAATATTCAAATTCAATTATCTTCACTATTGTAGAAACTTCATTGAAGATGATATCTTCATTATTGTAAAAACTTTGTTAAAATTATTATCTTTATTACTCTAGAAACTTCATTGAAGTTTATGTCTTCATTATTCTAGAAACTTTATTGTAAAAATATATTTATTATTATAAAAACATAACTGAAATTAATATCTTCATTAAAAATAATAAACTTCATTGAAGTTAATACCTTCAATATCAAAATTAAAGAAAAATATCTGCATTGCAGTAAATCAATTAATTGAAGGTAATTCTTTTTACTAAAGCGAATATCTTCACTTTGGCGAATATTTAAATTAAAATTCCATCATTGAATTAAATCATTTAATTGAAGCTAATATCTTCACTAAAAGAATTTATAAATTAAAACTAATATCTTCACTGAAGAAAATATAGCAAGTGAAGAATAAATATCTTGACTAAAGAGAATATCTCAATATAGAAAATAAATATCTTCACTAATAAGAATTTATAAATATAAATATAAATATCTTCACGGAAGTAAATCGATTAATCAAGTAAATAATTTCAATGAAGTAAAAAAATTTCTATTGCAGTTTATAACAGTATTCAGTGAAGAAAATACATTTCTTGAAAGTATTATATTTCTTCAGTGAATTGAATGTAGCAATCTATTGAAGTGAAAGTTTTATCTTCACTACTGCAAATTTCTCTCCTTTCTTCACCGTAATTAAGCTTTTTTTTCTTTCTTCTTTCTTTACTGAATTAACTAAATTGTATCAATTTCTTTTTTCTTCACTGAATTAAGTAAATTTTATCAATTTCTTCTTTCTTCACTGAATTAACTAAATTGTATCAATTTCTTTTTTCTTCACTGAATTAAGTAAATTTTATCAATCTCTTCTTTCTTCACTGAATTAAGTAAATTTTATCAATTTCTTCTTTCTTCACCGAATTAAGTAAATTGTATCAATTTCTTCTTTCTTCACCGAATTAAGCAAATTGTATCAATTTCATCTTTCTTCACTGAATTAAGTAAATTATATCAATTTCTCCTTAATTCCATATTTGTTAATTAGAATATCAACCAGTTTCGTGTGAACATATTTAATATCAAAGAAAAAGAACAATAATAATTATCAAAAAATATCAGAATGTTGAAAATAATCTTTGAGGCAGGACGAGAACAACGACGACGACGATATTTCTGATAAAAAAGCCGAGCGCGAATGGAGAAGGTGTTTGTGAATCGGTGCAGGCGAAAGTGTGGGCGTGTAAAAACATTTAAAAAACGCGTCGTGCGTTGGAAAGTTGACAGTCTGTGAAAAACGATAACAAGAAAGTGCTTCTGTTTTGAAATTTTTTTCTCATACAAAATAAGAATATAATAAAAAAAAGAAAGAGAAAAGACAATAATAATTGAATACTGTGAAAAAAAAAGAAATTTCTAACTGAAGAAAATTATTTATATTCTTTTCTCCTCTATTTGCATATATTGATGACTGTAAAAATAAAGTGAATAATAAAAAAAGAATTTTTCCCCCAAAAATTTCCAATAATTGATATAATATTTAGTGTATATGTATATATAATATAGACAAAGTTCAAGATGCCAGAAAGATTTAAAGTGACACCGACAGCGAGCGCTATTAACTTGCCACAATATCAACGTTATGCTGCTCAGCCGTTATCGCACGACTTTGGTGAGTGATTGAAACAAGATTAGAAATATCGATAGATAAATATATATGTATATATATACTATATACAGTATTGCAACATTGAAGGGCATAGTCAAGGATAAATGATTTTTACCCCCTAAAACATTGCATAATGGGAATTTCTGTTCCAACGCTTTTCATTTTATTTGGAAGGTAAAATTTTTTTTTTTTATTTAGTCGCGAAATTTTTGACTTTGTTATTTATCTTTTATTATATATTATTTTTTATTTTATTTTATTTATTATTCTTTGTTTTATCACACTTTAGTTTTTATTTTATATTACTTTATTTTTTATTTCTGTATAACAATATTTTATTTATTTTTATATTTATTTAACCATTTTTCACACGTTTCATTTTTTTCATTTTTAGGGTATGTTTATAGTTTTAAAGATGTTAAAAAATAGTATGGTAAAATTTACAATACTTTTTTATAACACTTAAACCTTTAAAATGTTTAATATGCATTATGCAATGTATACAATATAGCATTTTCAATTTATGTTATACAATATACATTATATATAATATTCAAAAATAATATATAATATAATATATAATTAATATATAATATATAATATATATATATAATATATGATATACAATTTATAAGTATATATATTATATACAATATAGGGAAAAAACAAAGTCCGAAACCGTTTACATACTAAAACCAAAATGATTAAAACTTATATCTTACTTTTAAGCTTAAAACTAGATTTAGTCAATTTTAAGATTTAAAATCAAACCGTACTCAATTTTAATACTAAAATTAAATCATTTTTGTATTTTACTGAATTTTAATACTAAATATGTACGAAAAATTTTAAAATGTTCCCTAACCGTATAGATATGCGTATTATATGGGTGTGTTTAAAATTAAATTGGGAAAGAGCACTATACATCAAAATAAAAAGTACAAATAGTGCTTTTTAACTGCACTAATTATATTCTTTAAACGATTAAAAGATAAATTGAAAACAGAGTCATATGACTCACATTATGATAAGTAATGCATGTGACTTATATTATATATAGAGATATGGGCTACTGAAATAAATGTGAAAGATAAGATTTAAAGAAAAACATTGACAAATTGGAGCAACAATGTTTTTTTGCAATTCTTGTAGACTTTTTTTTTTGAAGAAAACTTTCTTTTTCTACTTTAATATTTTTGGAATGTTTTTTATTATTATATTGATGATAAAGATGATGAAGATGATGTTGATGATGATGATATTGATGATAAAGATGATGAAGAAGATGAAGATGATGATATTGCTGATAAAGATGATGAAGATGATGTTGATGATGATGTTGATGATAAAGATGATGAAGATGCTGTTGATGATGATATTGATGATAAAGATGATAAAGTTGATAATGATGATGATGATAAAGATGATGCCATTTGTTACTTATAAGTTATCAGTGTTGCAGCAAGGTAACAAATTTTCTTTCTTTTTTATTTTAAATTTTTTAATAAACTAAAAATTGATTTCTTTTAATAAACTAAAATAAGAAAGAAATTTTTTTTTAATTAACTTTATTGCGTCAACATTATTTATAGAACAAATTATAAAAGCGTGTTTTAGTATAAACTATAAAGTAGGTATATAGCAGTCCTCTCATGTTGAAAAGAAAAGTTGTCATCAAAGAAGACAGATATTCTCTTTTTCACTTTTGTGCATTTGAGAAACTCTGCTGTCACATGAATGTTTTCAAATAAAAATCACCTTGAATTTTTAAAATAACATTTTTACTTATAGCTATACGTTGTATTATTTGTGTAAGCATATCACTAGGAAAAATTCGGAAGCTGTTATTTTCAACATACTTGCTCTTAAATTTACCATCAATTTTTTGATTTATTCGCAGTTCTGGTCGAGAATTTATTTATAAATTCACAGTTATTGCAAATTTTTATAATGCTTTTAGCAATAACGCATCATTTTTCTTACTATTTTTATTACTGTTATTTATACTATTACTATAATATACTACTCTTACCATTATTATTATTACTATTATTATTATTATTATTATTATTATTATTATTATTATTATTATTATTATTATTATTATTATAATTTTTGTTTATATTTCACGTTCATTTATTAAATTCACGGGTATATTCCCGTCTCTCTCACTCCACAATTGAAAAAGTGGACAATTATATTCAAATGATATGCAGAATATGAGATTCAAGTTTTTCAAGTGCACGGAAAGACTTTGTCTTCTTTTGCTTGAATATATCGATATATGGTAATTTATTCAAGACACAACCGGAAAGTACAATGACGTTTATTAATAAACGCGTATCATATGCAATTGAACTCTCGTTGTCTCGCACATGTCTCGAATTTGCCTTCATCCACAGTGACATCAAATTTTTATATATTATAATTTAATAAATAGATAAATACTGAAATGAAAAAGTATAGATAAATGATAATATGAATAAAACCAATTATAAGGAAATTAAATAAAGAGATAAATAAAAATAAAATAAATAAAAAATTCTAGACAAATAAATAGAAACATGTTTTTCTCTACAATTAAACCCGTCCATTGACATTACGATACAGATGATTAATAATCACGTGAAAAATCTAAAAGATGTATCTAAAAGTAAACAAAATTTTTATATTTTTATCAGAAAATATCAGATTGTTACCAGGGCAATGATTCGAGCATTAAACAGTCTTCGTTCTTTAATGCTTGTTATGTAAAAAATGATTTTATTAAAGAGAGATATATAAATTAGAGAAGTGTCCGTTATTATTGGATCATTCTTACAAACTTTTTTTTTTTTTTGAATTCAAACGCAACGAGAATAAAAAAAAATTATTTCCGTGTTTTTTTTTGTAAATTTTTTATATTTCATTCATTGCTTTTTTTCTAGTGAGAAAGAGAAAAAAAGAAGAGAACAGAAAAAAAAACAATTTCATTTGTATGTGATTAATCAATAAGTGACAATTTTCCTCATTTGAATACACAATGTTACCATTCGTGAGGTGTAACGGTACGTAAAATGTCAAATGTCAAAGGCAAATCTCTTTTTTTTTAAAATCATATTTGATATGCAATAATGTAAATGTGAATTTCTGATGAATAATAATTTATTATAGAGAATTTATATTTCTAAATAAATTGAATTTATAAAAAATTATAAAAAATACAGAAAAAACGAACAATTAAATAATTGATAATAATAATAAATAAATAAATTTAAAAATGAAACAAAAATATATTTTTAAAACGTAATTTGAAAATTTATTTTTAGAACCGGAAATCGTATTTAATACTAAATGCGTTACATATAAAGTTGAAAATTCAAAAGTTGTTTATCTATAATTTTATAAAGAATGTTTATTTTCAATAAGAAACTCTTTGAAAACGTTTTTGCGTCAAAAATTATTTTTGCATAAATAAATCTTTCTTTATATAAAACACACCGCAGTTTTTCAGTACAAGTTTAAAATGGTTCTAAAATGACCCTTACGGAATAATATATTTAACAATTTATAAAATAAAAGAAAATAAAAAAAAATAAATAAAAAAGAAATAAAAAATTTTTTTTTTAATAAAATGTACAAAACCATTATTATAGAAAATTCCAAAAATAATATTTTTTATAAATAATAAAAACATGAAAAAAAATTGGTTTCGACATATTATTTATTGTACATTTTGTAAACAGCTTGAAAATAATTGTTGTTGTTTTGAAATTATTATTCATTATTATATTATATTTGAAAATTCATTATAATACATTTATTACAATTGTGTGGCTGTTATGCTTTTACATGCACTAAAATAATATTCAAGATTCATAAAGTAGGTACGATAATTGTTAGCGTCTATTATTATATATTAAAGTTCCTTTATTGAATTTGTGTTTAACAAGTTATTTAATTATGCAATTAAATTTCAATGCAATAATATAATCATTTGTTGATTAAATATATATATATATTATATATAAATAGTCAAAAACCGTTTACTTATAATAATAAAAAATTAACTAATTCATTGTTAACTTAAAAGTATCAAATTGCAAGAAATTGATACCAAAAAGTGGATCAAAGCATAATTTGATTTCAATTTTTGTTATCATTTTGATCCAACTGAGTATAAATTTGATACTTTTAAGAAAACTGTGTTTTTAACACTGAAAAATTAAATATTAATAGTAATAATAATAAATTAAGATCTTTTAATTAAAATAAATAATAATTTTTATTATATATTTAGTCAATAAGATCTTTTGTGTACCCACGTAAAGTGTAGTTTGTTAAAAAATTAAGCAAGTGGTGCCCTCGAACGGTGAAATTTGAATTCTAAAACATTATATTAGCATGAGAGCATCCCTCTGTAATACTTCTTTTTTTTAAATAATAGAGTGAAAAGTTTTTCGCCCATATTTCAATGGATTAAATCGATTTCAAATCCCCCAGAGGGCATCATTAACTTTATATAAAAAAAATATATATATGAACCACAAGAAATCTCTTTCATAGAAGAACACTGATAAAAATCAGATTTTCTATCTTGGGAATCTCACTGACTCTCTTTCTTCTCTTTCTTAAATTCTTTTTTGTTCTTTTCTTCTTCTTTTTGAAAATAATGAAATTATTTTTCCCAGGAAATGAAATTGTTTTTGAGAAAATGCTGGTAATTTTATTTTACTTTTTTTATAAAAAAAAGGAAATATAAATATACGAGAACGTCTAAATATTCTTTTATAAAGGCAAATGTTTGATTAAATTTTTTTTTAAAGAGAGATCTAATGTAGTTTTTTTTTAATTAAGATCAAAGAAAATTTACTTGTGAGAAACAAAGAGAATTTAAGTTATTAAAAGTCTTTTGTTAATTACGATATAAAATAGTTGCAGGTACGAGCTTATTTTTATAAAATTAGGTTGTTGCAATAAATTCATCTTGTTTCGGAATATGGTAGTTTCAGTTTATGATAGTT